GTCTTCGTCAAACATACAGTGGAACCTTTGGTATTGTGTTGGTATCTTGATTCTCCAGTCGTCCTTCGGGGTTTTGTCGATAGCTTGGTCGATTTCCTCCATGGTTACGCTAAAGATATGAAGTTTATCCCTTCGAGCGAAGCGGCAGAGGGCGGCGGAGCTGACGAGGTGGAAGCGGGGTGGCGGAGCGATTCCTTTGACGGGCGCGGTTTTCTTGGAGGCGTTGCACTTGTGCTTGCAATATTCTGACTCAAACTGTATGGTGTTCTCCTTGAACCGCAGGGTGGCGTCATGCAGCTGGAGCCAGGGGATTCCTAGTACAAGGGGGTAAGAGCCGAGTTTGGTGACGAAGAAAGGGACGGTTTCACAGTGGTCATCGATGGACATAGGCAAGTAGCATAGGTGGGTGATTTGACCAGAAGATATGGGTCGGCCGTCTATGACTTCGAGGGTGCGAGGTGATTTGAAGGGGAGCAGAGGGAAGTTGTTATGGCGCGCGAATGTTTCATCAATGAATGCGAACCCGGAGCAACCAGTATCAATCAATGCGTAGGTTTGAATGGGAGTTTTATTGTTTACAATTTTACAAGAAGCAACAAAATGATCACCATCCAATTTATCCTCCACAGACGATACCGAGAAGCCAGAGATAGAGAACGCAGACAAAGGAAAAACATTAGGTGGTCCCGGGCAGGGGCCATTGATCAAGCCCGGGACTAGTGAAAACCCGACTCGGAAGAGGCGGAGCTAGCGATCGGCGGGGGGCGGGGTCATCGGTGGTGCGGACAGGCGCGAGGAGGGCACCTCTCATAGCTGGTTGGCTGCCACGGGGGCGGTTGGCGGAGGGGCAGTTGGCAAAGACGTGACCGGGGTTGGCGCAGTACATGCAAAGGTTATTGTCTCGCCTCCATTGCTTCTCAGCAGTGGAGGTTTTCCGTTGGCCATTGATGAAGGTGTAGCGTTGTTCGGGGGCCGGTCGTTGGGTGGGGCGAGCCTGCAGGGCGGAGAGGTCCATGGGGGCGAGGCCTCCAGCAGTGTGGGACGGATGTGCAGTGGCGGGGGGAGCGGTAAATTGACCCATCGTGTTACGGATGGCCTTTTGTTCGGCCTTCCGGCCCCGGATCTGGTTGTCGATGGTCATGAGGGTGGTCGCATAGGCTTCCACAGTGTTTGGCCGGTCCGTCCTGTAACTCATAGCATCCTTGAGGTCCTCGGATAATCTTTCGGCCAGAGCATCGATTTTTGCCCCCTCATTGTAATCTAGGTATGCCACGATGCGGAGAAACTAGGAGTAGTACGTAGCAAAGTCTCCTTTGCCTTGTCTGAGTGCGACGAGTTGGCGGCGGGCGGTTCCTCGGGGGTCTGGGTCTCCGAACGAAGCTTCCAGGTGGGCGACGAAGGCGGCGACGGAGGAGAAGGGTGCGGCGGGGTTGGCGTTGACAAGAGGGACGACCTGGTCTAGGGCCCTTCCTTCCATTCGGCTAACAGCATAGATAACCTTTGCTGCTTCGTTGCGGAACCTGTCGTCGTTGACCTCGAGTTTCATCCGGAGTTGGGTGATAAACCCAGGGAGCTTGGAACGGGTACCATCGAATTTTTCAGGGTCCGGGAACTTTTCAGACCTGAAGGCGGGGGCGGCATTGGACTGTGGGGCGGCATTTTGGGGGGCGATGTCGATGGGAGCAGGGGCGGCGGCGGCAGCACGGGCGATGTTGAGGTTCAGGTTGAGCTGGTTTATCTGCTCTTCCAGGTTATCGATGACCTCGTTGGCGGCGGCGAGTTGTTGGCGGGCTTCGTTTCGCTGAGCGATGCGGAGCTGGGAATTTTCGGCGAGGTGGGTGAATAGGGCGGCGGGGTCTTGTTCGAATTGCTGTTTGAATTCCTCCACATTATTGGGAGGGAGCCATGCAGGTGGGTCGGCGGTGGACATGGCGTACGGTGCGGATGATGACGCAACGTAATCTCAAGGGGCGGTGATAGCACGTATTCCGCAGGGTACGATATGCGACAGTAGGAGCTGTTGATTTAGTCAAGCGAGGTCAAGCGAGGTCAAGCGAGGTGCGAAGGTCTTCGTGAAGAAGAGAAGTAATAGCGTATGTATTGAGAACCAGCGTAGATATAGAAGTGGTCCTGCCTGGTATGATATGCCAGGTACGGACAATGGTTGCGATAGAGAAATACAGAAGACGTTGCGTAAGGAAACAAGAAGAGAAAGGAAAACAGGAACGAAGCGAGGGAGAGCCCCCTTATTATACCCAAGGAAATCCTGCGATGACTAATCCCCAAAGACTCACACCACGCAACCGAACAGATACCCGAAAAACACGATAGAAACCTCCTGACTAATCCGACTCCGCGTAACCCGACGACCCTATCAACCGATTCATGAAAATGGGGTCGTCGGGTTATGCGGAGTCGGATTAGTCAGGAGGTTTCTATCGTGTTCTTCGGGTATCTGTTCGGTTGCGTGGTGTGAGTCATTGGGGATTAGTCATCGCAGGATTTCCTTGGGTATAATAAGGGGGCTCTCCCTCGCTTCGTTCCTGTTCTCCTTTCTCTTCTTCTTTCCTTACGCAACGTCTTCTGTATTGCTCTACCGCAACCATCATCCATACCTGGCATATCATACCAGGTAGGACCACTTCTATATCTACGCTGGTTCTCAATACATACGCTATTACCTCTCTTCTTCACGAAGACCTTCGCGCCTAGCTTGACCTCGCTTGACTAACTCGACAGCTCCTACTGCCGCATATCGTACCCTGCGGAATACGTGTTAACACCGCCCCTTGAGAGCGGATTGGGGTGGGGGAGACCTCTGAAAGAGTTCTTTTCCTGCCGGTGAAGTTTGGGGGAGTGGTCGGGCGGGAGTTTGTTACCGATACCAGTTTGTTGTTCCGGTCGCGAGTTTGTTGGTTCTCACTTAGAGTGTGTTGGTGAGGGGTGGGGTTCACAACTAAGGAACCAGAGTGTGAATAACTTCGCGAACGAATAGATGTATGATAAAATACCAGTAGATTAGGTGGTCTACTGACATACAGGATCATGTTCGAGTAAAAGTTTTATCGGAAGTGCGAAACAGAAATGTTTGTATTCGAATGTTTTGATGTTACGAGAGACATGAGCCGTTCCGTATTGAAGGAAAGAAAAGGAAGGGAGTAAAACCAAGAGTGGTGCCTCCTAATATAAACAAGGAAATCTCAGCGATGACAAATCTACAGTGATTCATAATTTTGTAGCCAACAGAACCTGACAGAACTCAACAGAACCTTTCTGACTAATCTGACTCCTCATACGCCAGTTTTTTAACTAATCGATACATGAAATCCTATATATATAAGCACACCATCAATGCTGCCTTGAAGAGATCCATTATACAGTGAAACAGTAATTGAGTACCCAATATCTTTACTGTTGTCACCATTTTGCAGCTCTTTCACCAGATTTTCTGTTCCTACTTTACCTAACTATACTACCAAATCTGTCTTTTTCATTAATCAAAACTCTCTGGTATATAGTAAAAGTGATTTAAAGTTTATTTAAAGCTTATGAATCCGAATCTTATCAATTATCTTCGCTATATAATAGTCCTAATATCAAAATCTTAATTCTCCTATAGCCTAATGGGTAGATTCAGAGATTGAGGTATAGTACTAGTATACTTCCAATGCTTTGGGTTCAACCTCTCTCCTCCTCATTCTGGCTTAAAAATAGAATAAGTCTCAAGATTGAATCAGCCTAAAATTGAACAAGGCTTACATAAGCATTCAATCAAATAAGTATTAAAGAAGCCTTAAATCAAATAAGTCTGAAAAATAAATAAGGTTTAATTGCTGGAGTTCGCTGTTAGTGACTTGAAATTAGAATAAGCAATACTAGTATACTCCCAAAACGGTGATATCTGCCTTATTTGAGCCTACTTTAACGATTATCTTTTTACTGCTTCCCGTAGTCAAGGTATGTAAACACTGCTTGGCAGGGAGTTAAGCTTTTTGTAATCAGTTAACACTTTTTATATTTTGCTCTGACAACTGCGTCAGCGATATAAGTAATTGCCATTGAGCGATTCTATTCTTTAATTGTATTTGGGTATATATATTTGCCCGGATAAATGGCTAACCGGTAGATGCTCCAATTGTGGGGAATTTTATGGTAGATCCGTACAGTGCAAATGCTAAGCCCTCTAGCTGAAGGGCTGTGTCATACATACTGCATGCATTAATATTTGAATGTGTACATATGGTAAGCCTGGAACGTTCCACCGGTTCGCATTTCAGCTCTAAACTTGTAGCCTTTGTGCGATGGAGGCGAGATATTACTAATACTGTGTACTTATGAGCTGTGCAACGGGGCTTATTCCACGCTGTATATATACGACGGGCCCAGTTTTTTGTTCTCCCTCGCTCCCCTACTGTGACTCTCTGGTTTCTCGTGTATTGGTACCTATCATTCAGTATGTGCTACATTCATCAATTGATTCTTTGAGAGCCTTGCTTATCCAAAAGAAACTTTTACCGACGCAGAATCAGGAGAGTCAAGGTTTCGAGAGGATATTTCGAAAGTGTAGTTTCTTGCATCAGCGGATTTGGAACCCAAGATATATCATTGGGGCTCTTGTTACCACTGGTAAATAGGCATTTCCACATAATCATATCGAATACACTCATGATAAACTAAGATTCCTAGCGTTGATAGCCCTGCCATACACTTACGCCCTCTCCAAGTTATCCGTCCCAATCCTATCACGGCCATCTAGCTCCCTCCCTGGAGCCTTGTCGAGAATCAAAACCACCCCCGCGCCTAATTTCCGGTAAACCTTCCAAGTGATGCGGTGAGTTATTCGGCGAGCGAGGAGCTTGGCGTCGGTAGCAGGGCAAGCAAAACTCAACCGGGCTTTACTGACGGCGGCGGAGAGGGGGACAGAGAAGCCGTCAGGCTATATCTTCAAGAAGGGGCAGATATCGAGGCCCGTTACTGGTCACAGCTCGGGGAATTTAACAATGGGTGCGTTGTTGTTAAAGCTGAAATTTATAGGTGTGTTACACGCACATCTAACGTGTGCAAGCTTGGGAAATATATGTGCTGGGGTAGCCCAGTCCATCGGACAGACCCTCATGACCTTTCTCGAACAGCCTTGCAGGCTGCTGCGGACGGAGGGCACACGAGTGTGGTGGAGTTGTTGTTGGAAGCTGGTGCGGATGTGAATGCACCACCAGCGAGAATATTTGGGAAGACCGCACTACAGACTACCGTGGAAGGAAGACATGAAAGGATAGTACAGCTACTCTTGAGCGAAGGTGCAGACCCTAATAGACCAGTCTCATCGTATGGAAGGACCGCATTACAGGCCGCCATAGAAGAAGGACACAAAATGATCCTGCAGTTGCTTGCATACAAAGGTGTCGATCTCAGTGGAGCTTTGAGAGAAGCTATTGAAGGACAGAACGAGGACACTTTGCAGTTACTCTTAGACATTGGGGCCAACATCAACATCAAATATCCGGACGGAGATACGCTATTGCATATTGCTGTCAAATGTCGGTTCGAACGCATAGTGGAGCTACTTCTATTCTCCGCATATAACCAGCTGCAGCCCAATACTGACGGCCCCCACACAACTGGGCTTGGGAATGATCTACGCCTTGGCCCGACCTTGAAACCAATTGATCTCATCGCCGCAATAGACCATCAACAGAGGGATATTCTACATGCAGCATGCTCGGATTATAATGAAACTATATTCCGTTTGATCTTGGGGAAATGCGCGCCCAATCACCTCAGTGCTCGAGACACCTTTGGCTCAACCCCACTTCACCTTGCAGTCAGGCATGGGAGTCTACCGGCAGTACACCTATTGGTTTCCTGGGATGTCGATATAGATACTCGTGACCTTGGGGATCAGACTCCGTTGCAGATTGCAGTTGATAAGGGACTCGTCGATATCACGCGTCTTCTGCTAAAGAAAGGTGCTACAACTGACCGTCTAACGGTGAAGCATCTGCCAATCTTGATACACGCATATGATGGCGGCAATCCTAGTACTGGTCATGTTGTGTTGTGTCGAACTCCCGGGAAAGGAACCTCTGTTGAGTCTGTCTCTGAGCCAGACTCTATCGTGTCCCTCCGGCGAAGGTTTCTTGATACAAGGTCGTGCTCGATTCATTTTGTGGCGTAAGTACCCAACTCTATGATATAACTGTGATCATAAAGATCTCCGCAGCTTACATAAAATACATCAATATTGTAGTCTAAGGGTTAAACTAGAATTCAACTCAGACTCTCAAAGCTCTAGGGGCGAAGTATCATTCGTAGACCCTCGAAGCTTAATCAATCATAAACTCGCGCTGCGTCATTATACATGCGATTATTCGAGGATAACGTCTGTGTCCTGGCTCTGGTCAACCGTGGATGATCATGGCTCACTATCCAATCACCAACCACAATTTTCCGCAATCCCCAACAAGGATGTTGTAGCCTACAGTGGAGAAAGAGGTAAACATCACTTCGTCTGGCGATCTCTCCCTTATTTTTGACCATTTCTTCCAGTAATATTTATCGGTTATGCATACTTCTGCTGTCCAATCCGACGTAAAAACCACGTCTCGCAATCGTTCACACCCGGCGTGAAGGCAGTGGAGATATCTTGGATCATGCTCGCCGCCGATACCGCTTCGAGGTCACAAGTTTGCTCTCTACGGATGGTGCAATACCGGGGCACTTTAAATATGAGAAACATCACAATACCACGACATGCAGCCGAGTTTGTGACATGGTTTTTTCAAGATATCTCTGAGAGGTGGAGAGTTCTTATTGAAAGTGCAATGTTGCACATCACTGAAATAGTCCGTTTCTCCTGCTTTCTTTTTACATGTCCATTCCGTTTGTTCTAATTCGCTCAACTAATTCTTCTCGATGATCGTAGCGCCAAGTTCAACTAAGTCAAGGGGGGAGAAACCCTTTTGTTATACAATCTTTACTTAAGGATAGCCAGGAGTAGTCAAAGCTCCGCAAGAACCACAAAGAGAATCATTTGAAAATGATAGTGCTTTTGGAAGCATTCAAGGGAAATTATGCGCTCTATTCCGAACTACTCCCCACTCCCGATTCATCCGATGTGGGCCTTGGGCTCGATACCGAAATACCCAAGTCGTGCCATAGCCCGGTAGTCGAGCCACGCACTCAAGATATAGAGGCGCTTCCTCCAATCCGCCGGCTGTCAGAGCAGATAATGGAGTTTGATGAGATATATAAAGCCGCATTATCCGAGCTCGACCGAGAATCGAAGGAGATGATTGAATTGGTGAGAATACGATGTACTCTAGCTCCTGTGAGATCGGGAATGGAGCTAACCTTTACGTTGGTTAGGAATTTAACTTAGTTTCAATATACGAAGCCCGGCGTTCCATTGAAATGTCCGAAAGCATGAAACGCCTCAGCTGGATTACGGTTAGATAACACATATATACCGAGGTTGTTGTAAATACAATTGTGGTCATGCGCTTACACTAAATGATCTAGTTCATATTCTTACCACTGATGTTCATCACGGTAGGTGAATCCTCATGAGATTGATTCGAGTTTTGCTGACCCGTATTTAGAGTTTCTTTGGAATGAATGTGGATATTCTCGCCAAGGACCCAAGCTGGCACCTCTACTTTTTTGTGTCTATACCATTCTTGGCGATCGTGATTGCTATTTGGGTTTTGTGCAAATATCTTCCTGTTCGTCCCAAAGTAGATCATAATACTGTATCATGAGTACTAACTCCATTTAGACCCCAGAGTTCTTTGAAAGAAGCGTCGGTAACTACTTGAGTTGGGCTTTTGGAGAAGGAGAGAGACGGCCAAAACCCCTTGCGTTTGAATCTCAGGCTATAGATATAACTCCAGGATACAAGTGTTAGTACGCCAAATCTCAAGGACTTATTGTGATATGCGTATATCAAATCGAAACTCATTGTTTTCTATAGCTTCAATCGGGGGTATGGCTACAGGTTGGTTGTATAACAGAAGGCGATCCTCGCTCCCTATGAACCATGCTCATGTATATGTATGATAGGTATGATATGTTGTAGGCAATTGCAACTGATACCATACATCGGTCTTGCTTCTTGGTTGACAAGGCCTTTCGAGTAACTTCAGTAGAATACTTTGGGCTAACTATAGAGATAATACTTCTAGGTAATACTTGAAGTGAGTAGTTTACTTACGCTACCTTTTCTTAGTCCTTGGTTGCTTCGGGATTTAGGCTTAAAGATCTGATGGTTCTTGGGGCTGGCGAATCCGTTGCTTCAGTAAGTCAATGTTTTATGGCCATGTAGGGAAAGATTCTCGTTCTGTTTGCAGAAATATATATACGTTTATTACTGTATATTATTTATTGTAATCATCAAATACATTTCAAAAGCTATAGCGCTTTCATTGACTTTCTCTCTAAGAGTTATAATATCCGGATGAGCAAAAGCGAATAAAGCTATATCAATTTCTTATTAGCTCTTCTCTTCGTATATGTATCTGTTTACTCTCTGCGATCGAATAATCTTTTTTACACATATAATTCACCTTAAGCAAGCCTTCACTAAGGGGTCCGATATAAAACATATAAGGCTGACCCTCTGTACGATCTTAGCGACTAGGTACTCTGTCTACCGGTTACATCGAAAGCTATTGGCTAGCCCCCAAATGCGGATATATTTACGGTGTGCCCCTATCTAGTCACATTGCCATAACTGTAAGGTTGGATGCAATTATTGAATTAAACAAAAAAAAGAGAAAAAGAAAACAAAAAAACCCCTATCTAGTCACACCGCATCACTCGTGAGGGTCAATGATCCCTATCGCAGTACCAGAATCCACTGCGGCGATAGGTCAGTGAAATCCCTTGAAGTAGATATATATTACCTAAAGATTGCTTGAAACCATATCATCTTGTATCTAACAAATTATGCTTACAGTAACAGCTGGCATTATTAATATATGCACATGCCAAATCTTCACAGAGAGATCCACATCTACCCCCTTAAGCCGCCAGACCGGATTATAATTATAATGCCAGTTTCTAGTCTGGTTTATTGTTCAGGGCATGGTGAACGTTCAACCCAAATGTTCCCAGTGCAGATTTGCGCACTATCTTTGGCATCTAGTAATTACTTATAGCTGGCGTACGTGAGAGCCTGCGCTACATGCCAGTATAATGGCAGCATTGAAGAACACATACATACAAACATACCTGATAGTAGACGGTTAGAACTGGTATTATGATCCGGCTTGGCTGCTGAAGTGATACTTGTCCGTCATTCTCAATTCTTGGTGTGCACGGTGGTAGAAATTAAGGTGTGCAAGGTTGCTCAAAAGGACGGTAGGCTTGGCACAAGAACCTCACCCGCAGTGCCCCACCCGCAGAGCCTCAACGATGAAGATGACGCAAGTCGTAACATCAACACCTTCTTAACTCTACCATCGTTCGGTTGAAACCACTCTATCAAGATTTCCCATGCCTTGCTAGCTAGTATTTTATTAGGTGGGAGAACAGCACAATGTCTCCACAGTGGCTAGAAGTACATGCCTCCTACTCATATAGACTCGGGGATCGGCTCGACACTTTAGGCGTCCCTCGAAACATGACCATCCTCCTGGCTTGCAATGTGCTTTCTTCCCCCTTCTAATTCTCACTGCTTTCATTCCTCTGACTCTCATCACTCTAGATCTGTTCATCCCATATCTTAAAATACCTAATACCTACATAACACTATCAGAGAAGACCCCCGCTACACTGCGCCTCACCTCCGAATATCAAAACTGAGGCCCTCTCAACACATATATGCTTCTAGTGTAAAACAAAACAATCTCAGGTTGACTTGTATGTCCATACTACCTTTTATGGGGGTTGCAAAGCCTAGGCCCTGCGCAGAGGAGGGTGTATTATCCAACCCATGAGGGTTAGATGCGGAAGCCCAAGGTTAGTTAGGTTTAGTGTCAGGTTATATCTAGGGAGGAAAACAGTATTTATTTCCTGCTCGTATTCCAGCAGACTTTATGATGTTTTCTTTTGCACAGGACACTTCGCGCCCGATTTCACCAATTACCCACTACTGACCTCGTACCAGATTTCCTCATAAGTTCATGCAAAACTGAATGAGGGGCCCCCCTCTGAACGACGACGAACCCCAACTTGTATACTTGAGCTTAATTACTAACTTTTAATACTACATTCTCCGTGGCGCAATTGGCTAGCGCGTTCGACTGTTAGATATCCAAGGATCTTCCCTGGCATGTTGTGCAATCGAGAGGTTGACAGTTCAACCCTGTCCGGGGAAGTTATCATCATAAACTTCAAGTACTTTTTGTCTTAACTCGGCGCGCGATTAACTTTCCCTAGTCGCTTCTCGTGGGCTTAGATACACTATCCCACCTTTTGTTTGCCCTCGCAGGCATAACGGATAACGATCCCTTCAATCCGTACGCCTTACAATGAGGTTAGGTTAGCAATTCCGGATTTTCAGCTATAAATCATCGCCGTCTAGAACTCTGGAATAACAGAGCAGGTGATTTGCATTATTATTCCACTCATTTTTATCACTATCCTTTACAAACGCGAGCACACTTTATTCACCTACGGGTGGGAACATGTAAGCGATTCCTAATACAAATCACCAATACCCAGCTACATGAGTTTCTTTCTTAGGTCTTCCCCGACTCAATACAAGTTCCCAGATTGGTGTATAAAATGCTCAAATTCGGACACAGGACTCAATGATCAAAGAACGCATCGGTTCAGGTACTTGTAAGTAAGGAAGGTTTATAATTTAGACAATAATTAATCCTCATCCTAATTACATATTTCTCGGCCTCGATACCACGCCATCAATCACACCTCCTGATGAACACTCCCCATTGAACTATCTTTCCTCCAGTCTCTGCATCCAGAAACCCCCCCCCCCCCCCCCACCGATCCAATTAGATCGACCTCGCGGTAGCGTTCTAACACTAAGATTTCACTGTGACCGTGACCGTCGCGGTGGACGCCACACAACCAGTCGCTACACTAGTGACTGGAGCGGCCGATGTTGCGGCCGATGTTGCGGCCGAAGTAGGTCCAGCCGAAGTCGCCGCGACACCAGAGCAAATCTACATATAGGGAACATATATAGAGTTAGCCACTGCAGGACTTCAATTGTTGCTAGCACGGAGGAGGTGGAAATATCTTACCCAGTAGTTGGCCCACATGTTTGTACAGTCGGCGGTCAAGAAGGGGTTGTAGGAGGTGAGCTGGGCGAGAGTGATGCCGTACTTGGTGAAGATGTCGTAGCAGGTCATACCCGAGGCGATGTAGTCCCAGCGGTTGCAGCTCTCGACGGCAGCACCCTGGGTTGGGCCTGGGGCGGCGACGACATATCTCTTGTCGAGAGATGCGGAGGCGAGAGTCGCGGTGAGGAGGGTGGTGGCGAAGAGAGTGAACTTCATTGTGAGGTTTTGGAGAGGTGGTTATTAGGATTAATTAGGTGAAGATATAGTTGAAGTTGAGTATGAGGATGAGGATGTCAGGCGAGGTGAGGATTGGTCAATTGGAGGATATTGGGGCGGTATTTATGTGAAAACTGTACTCTTCTCGATTTCCTTTCACGCTCTCCTCTCGTCTCCTGAGATTTGACAATATTCCCGTACCGTCTGTCTATCGTCTGGTTAAACTCAACCCCTAGCTAGCATCACCATCGAGATAAGTCCCCGTTAGAGTAATTTCGATCATTACCCATGTTGTTGCTACCGTGCACTTTCCTAAAGCGGATGCTGGCAATAACGGGTGAGTCAACCGCTGCTGTGCGGTCCAGGATATTGTAAGCAAGTAAGTCCTGCAGAGTGCTTAGTGTTCCAATATAGGACAATGTAGGTACGCCTGATCATGAGCGTACCCGTGCACAGGCCAGTGTGCAGGAACGCGGCGAAGAGCCTCAGGGGCAGAATTATTATGACGGCAGTTTACGAACGTATTTTCCCAGAAGAACTGGGAACGGTTGCATGAGTACCCGTGAGTATATCAACTCATAATATAGCATTGAGTTCTGCCTCTATTTCTGGAAGAAATAGAGTTCCAATTGGACTCTGGGGATCTTGATATACTATTAACAAGCTTCGCGATCTCGCCATGTAGTTACAACCCCACATCGAAGCTTTAATGTCCCCCAGTTTGGCATATATATCCATGGAAGAGGGCTACAAAATCCAATAAGGTACCGAGGTTCGGATAATAAAACAGGAACCAGAATTCTTGACCGATTGATTGGTGGCCAAGCTGGGGCACAGTAGAACATTAATTAATCAAATCTGTCCATATTAGTACTGCAGTCAGTCATCAATAATATAGCTAAGTAGTACCCGATGCCGGCCCTGCAGGATGCAAATGCTTAGTACACACCTTGCTAGTACCCTATCTGCTGGAGATACTTTATTGTGGTGATCCCCTATATACTTTATGTCTATCAAACCCGGATCAGGGTGTGTGAGTCAAAAATATCAACAAAAGTAGCTAGCTTGCAGAACCCTACCAGGGTAAATGTACAACACATCCCTGGACATCAATCTAATAAAGTGGGTACCATGGCTCAGATCCACTGCTCGCTTATAAAGAAAACATTTAAATAACAGCCGAGAATATATATGTTGTTAATTCTTCCCGTTGAGATCTAGGATTCAGGTTATTTATATGTCATCTTGAACTCTGCTAACCTGTATAACACGCTCCCTTTTACGATCAAAGTACACATGGTGCTAATTTCTCCGGAACCCTTGTGACCTGGTAGGTCCGCTAGCCTCTGGGGAGTCATGATTGATAGGCATGGATATTTAATCCTACCTGTGACACAAAACCTTCAGGGAGATTTTTGAACGTAAATTGTTCGTTAGCGCTATTTGGCATGGAATTGAACCCGTTCATCCCTCAAGTTGCAATTGGTGATGTCGAGGATTTTCGCTCGTGGTGGCTAACAAGCTATAGCGAAGCACAGCATCCGGTTACAATTGTTGAGAGCCTCTTCCATGTTGGATAATGTGTTAGTGAGGCCACATTTCTACTCCTAACAGCCCAACGACGTCCCAAGGATAGCACAGGACACGGTGGGCACACCCGTATAGTCCTTATCTTGACTGATGAGGTATTGACCTTCTAAACTTAACACATACGGTATCTAAGACGGAAACGAAAAGATACTCATTTCCGGCCTTGAGCTCATCTGATATATTGACCCATTAAACTAACTGCACTAGGGTCAGGATATAATACCTTAAAGTGCCCTCGCTGCTTTAACTTTTTATACTACTAGCTAGCTGTGAGTCCCAGTTAGCTTAATTGTAAGACATACATACCCTGCATGGTTTGTAACGACATCATGGGAGGCAGACCACACGTCTTGTACGACTACAATGTATGGACTAGTATGTAAATGCCGATGCCCTATGGTCCCTTACATGCAATACATGCCCTTTAGTACGCCAAACAAAACAATCTTAACCAATTCAGTCAATCGCATCATATTGACGTTACATCCGGCCGGGCGGTCATCGGTGGTGAACAAAGTGGTCCACGATGTGCACTCCTTCGACTAAATTCAAGTTTGCCATACACACGCTGCGTTGGTATAGATTAAGTGATCAAATCCTCGCTGACTTTTTAGTTAAACGCCCTCTTCGACTCATCCTCAAAAAATGCACGACAATGTAGCCCATAAATAATACGATTATCCTTGTTCTATCAATTAGTGGCATATGAGTCTATTGCTTCTCCCATCAAACCTCCCCACGGTGGCTCGTAACGAATTGGCATATCACGGGTCAGTCTATCAAGACCTATTAACTTGATCCGTCACGCTCACCATTTTTGCAATATGGAACTTAAGATCCACCCCGAACCACCCCCCCATACAAGATTCATTTTCCCGTCAAAGACGGTCGATTTAAACACATTTCCGATGATTCGTTTCACACAATGTTTAACGTGAATATAAGATGCGATCTTTCGATTCAATTCCATAATTGCTTAGAGTGTATAAGCTGATTTCGTCGAGATCACCATATTTACACCGTGTTAGGGGCCATGGTGTTCCCTACTGGTTCTAATATATAGCCATGTTAATGTACCAATTGATTCATTAACATACACAAGCTGGTTAGTTCGTGGAAAAATACTCTAAAGATTTATTTACACGGCGGCGAATTGATTGTCGATCAACGTCGAAGAGAATGTGTTTTTAAAAGTAGAATTTGGAACTAAAAATTTATTGAGATTCATTTCGTCATCAACACCAGATAAACATCTAATAAGTGTATAATTATATAACTTGCATATACATGTGCTTTTAAAAGCTTCTCATTGGCTCATTCAGTCAGATTATATTTCGCTTGAAACATGTTGTGTTGAATATGAACACAGGGTGTTGTTGGGTCGTGTTGGGTTGTTAATAGGTTTTCTTCAACTGGAGAGATTTTCTGACATATTCACTGATGGTGATATCAAAAAGGCACATGTTGAAACATTGCCTGCCAGAAGGGGTTGAGGGCCGCGCAGCGGCCTGAGAGCCCCTAGTTACAGGGAAATATAGAAAATAAGCCGTAAGGCGGCTTGGCTGTATATTAGACTAATTGATATACATACTACTGGCCAAAGGCCAGAAACCACTCGTATTTGTTTACAATGATTCATTCCATGCCAATACTTAACGTGAGAAATATTTCAAAGCTTAACTAAAACATGCTATATCTAAATCACAAACAATCATCCCCTCAACAGCTGAACACTGTTTATATATAGCAAACCTCGTACATCACTGTTGACTCAATAAGGTTTCGAAATGCATTATTTGACAAAAAAGGCTACTTTAAGTTGGTCGTTTCCATGATAAACTTTGTTTGGTAAAGTTTACCCTATTAGCGGGTGTAAAGTTGGGATGAGACACGATATACAACTAATCTTCACCAATCCTCAGATAGCTTTTAGACAAAAACGCTCCAAATAAAAGACAATGCCGAGGGTAGTTTCTTAGCTAAATTGATCCTATCGCTCTATTTTAATTCCCTACCTATTTCTCACCAAACCATTATTTCCCCTCACCCCCGATTGCTCCTTAAGTGCCCACTCTACGGATCCAGGGGTGTATCGTTAAGAAAGCAGCAAGCTGTGCGATGCAGTAGAGGGTAAACGCAAAGATCCATTTCCACATCTCTTAGCGAGATCCAAACTGACTACATATATATACGCTCCGAGTTCCAACCCTAACCAACTCTAACTATTCTCCTCCTAGGCCCCTAAACTATCCACTTCAACGATATCCATACTCTTTCCCTACAGTCCATACTACCACCCCCATAAATCGTTACATATCATACCATACTCCATACCTTCATGGGTTCGCTAAACCTTCAGACACCTCCTTCTAACCAGCAGTGAAGCGAGACTGTTACCCGTGCTTGAGAATTCCGTAGTCGTGTTGCTAGGAAGCGGAATTGGTGTCACAACCCATCACTCGAGTCCTTTCCCGTTCCCTTGACAACCAACTTCCACCGCCAACCACGGGCCTCTTTTCCCCGCCTAGAGTCTCTACCCCCTAGTCTAGCGTTAAAAAACCAAAACCAATAGCATCGAGGAAATAAAATAAGTCAATACCCATCCCGATGTGTTTGCAGCACCAAGGTGTATTATGTACACAGCCGAGCGAGGTGAACCTACGCCAGTCATGCATGCACCCCCAACTACACACATTCAATCATCTGATGAGCAAAAAGATAATTGACAGGCCCTAATCCGGGATTGAACCGGAGACCTCCTGCATTCAAGAGAACCCAAAGCAGGAATCATACCACTAGACCATCAGGGCTTATATCAACCAACTCTGGTGATCACTGAAATTCAAATCATTACTCAGACTCTTTATCTGTTGTTCGTGACCGAAACTCTTATGTTCAGCTCTTGATTGGGCTTAGCGCTTAGTGAGTCCAGGTCAGATATAGAGGTTGCAGTCATCAGATCTAAGGGAGCTGACTATAGCCTTGATACAACGGCGTTGGATGTGACGATAGGCCGAGTTTCGTTCTGTAGAGATTGTGCTGACTCGAGACAGGGCTGGAGACAATATCACAAGTCTCCCCCAAACCCAAAAACCAGTGTAAGTTATAACGTATCCAAACAACAAATAGTCCTCATAGGGCTCCTCGTAGCCCTCTCCCAAGAAGCAATAGGAGTCCTGCTCAATTGTGGCCATAGCCAAAGTACCTCCCTCTCTCCCATTGCAATGTCGAGTCATGATCATTGAGACACTTCTCGATGACTCACCTCCAAGGAGTTACTCACCCTACACCTATACTCTTCACAACAGGAGAGTTCACCTGCAAACGTTGCTCTATTCCACTCCACTCTTCTTCTTTATCCCTCGTTTTTTCAAACGCGGGATATATACGGCACCAATCTCATGAATTAAACAAAAAAAAAACCGCACCAATCTCGAGATATGGGTTAGGGTTGTTAGGGTTAGGGTTTCTTCTTCACCGAAGAATTCCTCAGTGACAGTCATGAGCACCAAATACTCATACGGAGGGCTATAAATACCAAAGACCACTTCTCCAATGTACCAACTAGCAGTCGTTCTAACAAAAACATTAAACTTCGGTCTCAACCCAATTTTTGGGTAGCGAGTGATATCTCATGTCTCGCCTAATCGCTATATTACAAGCCTCACTCTCACAACCATATCATCCCAACCGGCACTTTTCCCGGAGAATACTTTTGACGGGCGGAACGACGCCCCGCCCCTTCGGCCGGTAGTACGCAATGTACTCCTACCCAGGGGCGTTTTTGCTCCTGTTCCTGATGCTGATGGTGGTGGTGATGTACTCTACAGAGATGATATATGACATGACGGCGGGAGCAAGGAACTAAGCGAGTGCACTGTGGGGTGTAGCACATAGAGTGTTTGCGACCGTTTGGCGATCAGGTGGACGCTGGGCATGGGCTTGTCTATCGTGGGAATCTCAAGGGAAGAAAGCTGGAGGCGAAGCCAAACAGGCGTCGGGGGAATTCAAGCCCAACACCGAGACTCACTGGCGGGGAAATGATACTTGTGTGGGATGGGGATCCCAAGTGCCGTCAAACCGGTCAGATTAATACAATATTGTCCCTACTCAGAGGAATAAGACAATGCAATTAACCTGGGAGATGCATAGGATTCGTGAGTATGAGTACTACGTATTTACCTGCATGGAAATAAACAGTAAAATTAAATTCAGAATGATTAATAAACCCCGCGCTCACTGCCACGGCCGAATTCAAGGGCATTGTTCATGAGGGGCGTGTACGTAGTTTCACGCCCTGCATGTTCCCATTCGAATCGTATGTTTCGCATGATCCAAAGCCTGAACCTGCCCAGGAACGGAGCTTTGCATTAACGTAGGACCGACATGATACTCTTTTGTGTGGTTGGCGGCTGGGAAATAGGCACGAGTGAGTAGCTGTGCGCCAAGCTATTCACACACAAATCCCTAACGTTGACAGATACACCACTTGGGGGACGAAATGAGACTACAAAAAACAGCCATTGACAAGTGTATGCAAGTTGATAGTAGTAATAAAAGGACCCTAAACTCAGCTGTCAACGGGACCTTCTCACTAACATAACGATTGGTATATATAACCTGGGGAACGTACACTCCTTACCTTCTAAATAATTCACCCCCTAGGCAGGATCTGCATTCGTCAGTTGCAATGAAAATGAATCGGGATAGTCTAATAAAAAACTATAGCTAATTATCACAAAGCCTGACAACTGTGACACAACAAATGAAATCCAAAGTAAACATACACCTCTTGCATTCGTATAATAATGCGAAAACACCTCCAATTAATAGACAATAGGCGGGAAAAGACACCCAAAAGGCAGAAGGTCGAACCCATCAAAGGATTATATCCCCCGAGAACCGGTCCCAAGGACAGATTAATACCCACAGACACATATATCTCCCCAACCCCTCCCCATAGAGAGCTAGTACAACCTCTAAATCCAATTCGCTCTCCAATTCCCCGCCAGTACCACCACCCCCGCCCTCACCAAGCTCAATTAATTTCAAAATGAGATCTACGCACCCGCGCGGCACCCCATTACTTATCCACCGTCCGTGCAACATACTAAACGTTATGTCAGCATTATAATTATATGTACCTCCCTTAATCTCTTCTCTCTCTCGATCCCTTACTCTCCCTATCTCTCCCTATCTCTCCCCGATCAGACTTCCCGTGCGTGTCGAAACTCCAATCAGCTCATGATCACTACTAATCCATTAATGCATCCTAACACTATAATATCCCTTCCTGGCGCGCGCTCGAGCAGAACGTAGGTACAAAACTCTATAATCCCAGATCCCAGGACCAGAACTTTACTCTCACCGGCGGCGGGTGGAAATTAAGATTATGTAGGAATAAGTACTCAAGCGGGTAAACTCGGGCGCGCGCGGTTATACCAGTAGGTTTTGGGTTTTGGTCCCGCGAGCGTCTTGCTGTACCGCTGGGTCTCACCAGTCCCATATATTGGTTTCTTCTCTTTTTGACAGAGAGTTAGTATACCATGCATTTAACGCGGGTAGAGAACCCAAGGGCTTGAACGTATATCCTCATAGCCCCTCTACACCGCATTATATATGTAGCTGAAAATCGAATCAATCGGACCGAAGGATCCAAAGGAGCACTCATCCAATGCATCTCCAGGCCACCAGGATCATGATCATATATACACGTTCGACCAAGCGCGAAATGCGCTGCTTCTAGAAGCACTTTTGTGGAACGTCTAGGTAGTGTAATCGCACTTGGGGTTGCCGTTGCTCGGATAGGAGGCCGTTCCTGTAGTTGAGAACAGACTGCTGGTACTTGTTCCCATATACTCATTTGCAGCAGACACCTGTCCAATCTCACTAATTAACAGTACACGCGCGTGTGCAGCGGCATGCGCGAATCTGCTCCATCTCACTAGTATCTCCTTCCACATCCACCACAGCACAATCTCTCTCTCTCTCAACTCCCCGACCACGATCAAGAGCTGTAGGTACCCGGCACTTTACTCTCTACCTGCACTGCACTGCACCCCCACGGACAACTATATCAGCCAACCAGCCCTCATATTCTCACTCTCCCGCCAGCACTTGCCCTCCCCGTCCCCAGCAGCTAGGAGTAATATTAATCCGTCCGTCCGTCTGTCTCACGCCTCTGTCTTACCTCACACCACTCTCACCTATCCACCAGCCATTACCCATCACCCATCACTTCCACCCTCAGCTCTCCCCCTTCCCTCCTTCCTTCCTTCCTTCCTTCCTTCCTTCCTTCTCTCCTCTTCACCGGACACACACCCACAAATTAAGGTTATTCCACGCACCCACGTGTGCCCGCCTCCCTTCCCCCATGTCCATTTCGGCTAAACACATGCATCCGTCACACACCACGGTTTACTCATCCGGTGCCCGTCTGCCAATTTTAGTCGCTTGGGGGCGGTGTTTAAGGTAGGTATGGGGTTAGGGTTACAACCCATCCTCGTATCTATGCATCTCGAGTTCGAGTTCTATATGGAGAAGACTACTCGAACGGGGCAAAAGAATGGAATGGAATGGGATTTAATCAATGGAATGGAATGTTACTAGTATAGTTGGCGCGGGCCGTGGTGTGATCTGTCGTGATTGCGGGTGACTTGTCCATACTTCTCTCTAGCTGTGGAATTCTGCTAGTGTTTTCCTCTCTGCTCGCGACAGCCAATTGTCTGGCTGTCTGGTGACGACAGGAATCTGTATGTGTGTGTGTAATGTGTGCAGAGGCCCATTTATCCTAATCTGGCGGATGGGGGGAGTGTGTGTGTGTGTGTATCGGATAATAGTTTGAAACGGTGGACAGTACCACAAGGCTGAGTGTGAGTGTGGTGTCATGATCAGGGGTAGGAAGGCATATCCAGACAGACAGATTACAGTAACACCAGGGGGTAAAGAGGTCAAGCAAGTAATGATTACATTATCCTGCCCTCCCGCCGCATCTGTAATCTGAAGATGTGCTGTATTTAAATTTAGCAACATGCACCTCTCAAGCATTGCAGCGAGAGTAGGTATCGTGAGAACTAGCACTGTTGCAATTGTTGACTTCCCCCCGTCGCTAGAGTATGAACCTGTCACTGTCGCTGTCACTGTCACTGTCACGGCACCTGCCCGACCAAAGTGCACTTCGGCGCCCGTAGCAATGCACGGGGCACACGCTGGCTTTTGGTCACTCAAGTCAAAAAGTAGCACTTAGCTACAGGGCTATGCTACCGATTCGCCGGTGAGGACGTACGAGGACGTCAACGCTGTTTCGGGTAGAGAGCACTGTTCCAAAGATACGATAACTATAAAAAATATGATCTATAACTCAATGGATTATAGACAAGATTGATCCCCACGTGTGGGGTATCCAGGCCTTGGTCGCCCGCTTATACACAGATAAGATGCAATACTACACACCGTTATGCGGTCGCTATTTTCTCCACCATTTTTTCCCTGCTCTGCTTGCAGTCTGGGGGAGTTTTGCATGTTTCGTTTAATTAACAATACACAGCATGATCAGAGGCAGGCTAGCAGACTTGTAAACTCGTAATGGCAATGCTATAGCTATTCTATCGATATGCCGATATGCCATAAATAACCACTACCAATTCTCGATAGATGTCCGATAAGCCCTACTGCCTACCTGTCTGCCCCCCGCGCAGTCAGCAGGCACGACGGACAGAAAGACTACAACGACAGGCACTCCCGAACCCTGCCGAAGCTGCTCTACGCAACGAGAAAGTGTAACCCCCCGCGACCTGTCTGTCTTGTCTGTCTTGCCGCCCAAGCCATGTCTACTGTCGGTACCTGTGGATAAGGTTCGCTCAGTCGCATGAAACTCGCTGCTTATCCTAGTATCTTAGACGAGCGGGAGAGGCGTGGGTGGGCGCTGCACGACGGTTGTTGAGCCTCATCCTGAATGAATCAATCTAACCAACCCAACACAACCCATCAACTAGAATACTCAAAGTGCGTATTTTTAGCACTGCTGATAATCAACACTTTCAAGAGCGCCGTCATCAAGCACTTGATCTTGACTCGAAAACCCCCCCCCTGTTTATCCGTACCTACTCTATATGTGCCATATCCGTCTTCCCGCGCCGCCGCCGCAGGACAAGTACCCGTTCGCTGCAGTATTGGCACTGTACACTGTACCCTACGGCCACAGGCATCGTTAGAGTAGATCATTTCGGTGCCACTTTAACTGAGTTTCCCTCTCTCTCTCTCAAACCAGATTAATTAATCCTTCGCAGCGAAACCTAGAAGCACAAATCCACCACCGCAATCCCAAAGCGGTAGAGTGGTCAGATTAACTAGCGGACATCTGGCGCTCTTCCAGAATCCAAAGACCCCGTGCGGGAGCATATCGCTACCAATGGGTCAATCTTTGATAAAAATTTCTGATGTGGCTCCTGTCCTCTATCGTAAAGACAAAAAACAAAAATGTAGAGTAGTTGTGTAGTATGTGGCCTGGCGAGAGTCGGGCTTCTCGGGGTAATCAAGCCACCACAATATCCAGACCACAGCCTATGTTGTAATAGAGACAGCAAAACAATGATTTAATTTTTTTTTTTCCCCAGCTCTTCGTCGTAACTATTGGCGTTTGGTCCACCACATCCAAACCTGCCTAACCAACTTGGATAGAGCGCTCACCCCCGTGCCTCCTTCTCTAATCCTCAGCCGCATCGTCTGATGCGGGCACATCGTCCCAATGCTCTGGTTCTTTGATGGGTCAGTACTGGATATTTGCTCAATCCACTGGCAATGTTCAGATACATGCGGCGATAGGGCAACATGCGTCAAGGCTATCTTTTAAGGTCGCCTTGGCACCCGTGTGGAAGAAGAGATTCGAGAATTGGGAGTCTCGTTACGTACTAATATAATACTGAGTGTTTTTATCCGTAGCCAGATCATAGCGGGATGGAACGTGAGATGAAGTCAACGAGATTCGTGGATCGATCTTGCATTCCTGTATCTGGCACTAGTCCTTCGGCTTGGTTTGGTTGTTGTGGCTGAATTGGTAGAAAAGTATCCATGCCAGAGGCACTTACAGTAGAGTACTGCTAGTAGAAACGGCCGGGGTCTGCTGCTACTGCGGTACGTCTAATATTCGTCCCCGATTTGGGTGTTCAACGGACGTGGGTAATGATGATGGGTGGTCACGGATGGTATGGTCCACATACCTGCTCTACTATGCCATGTCTTATGCGTCTCCGCCTCCCTCATATCGACCAGGGAAGGTCAAAAGGCACATACTATATTGATTGTAGCCATTATTATAACCCGCGGGTGTCGTGCCAAGGATAACCACACAGCCAGGCATTTTCCATTATACGTAGAGACGTAGAGCGTACTAGATATAAACTGCATCTCTCCACGCTCTTTTTTCTTCTTTAATCAGTCAGTCACCCAACTAGCCAGTCACCCAAACGACACGGATAGAGACTTTACCTGACAAGATGTCTTCATCATCACCAACACTCAACGTCCCCAACGCAACACCCATTGCCAGTTCCCAAAACTCGCTGTTCAGCAATGACACCACACTCAATGAAGGGCCACAATTGACGCTACCGGCGCTCCAAGAGGAGAACGCAGTAGACCCAGTACTCTCGCCGAGGAACTGGCCAAATGGCAAGAGTAAGCTATCATCTCTTGGTTCATGACTATTTCTCTCATCTGAATTTACGCTGATGGAAATTACTTGAAAAGAGACAAAGATTTCGGCCATCATGTCCGTCATGACTTTCATTGTCACAATGAGTGCCTCAGTAGTTTCCCCTGCTATCCCAAACATGGAAGTCTACTTCAAGACCACCAGGATTGTTGCCATTCTCTCGCTTAGTTTGTAAGTATCGTCCTCTTCCTTCCTTTCCTTGATGGATACTAATGAAAAGTGATAGATATCTTCTCGGTATCGCCTGCGGAACCATCGTCTTTGCCCCTCTGAGTGAGGTTTACGGCCGCAACAGGATCTACCGGCCAACCTGGTTCCTCTTCTTTATCCTCCACATCCCCATTGCGCTCACAGATAGCTTCACGGCTCACGTCATTGTCCGCTTCATCTGCGGGTTCCTGGCGTCACCTGCATTGACGGTTGCTGCTGGGTCCTTTACTGATATTTATACCAGTAAGTTCTCGACCCTTCTTTCGCCTAAAAGTCAAGTATTAATTCATCATCTTATAGCTGAGGAAGTCGGAATCCCTCTCGGGTTCTTCATTCTTTCTGCCTTCCTTGGTCCTGTCGCTGGCCCCGTTACCGGTGGTTACCTAGCGCAGTACGCTCCCGGTGGTGTCTTCGAATCATGGCGCTGGATCATCTGGTTCATGATGATCTTAGCGGGGACACTTGGACTTACTCTTTTCTGGCTGCCGGAAACTTTCTACCCTGTGATCTTGGAGCGTGAGTCAAGGAAGGTCAACTTCAAGGACATCAGCATGGAGCCTGGCATGGACGCTGGTATCGAGAAGAAGCATGCTGTCAAAGCCGTGGCTGGATGGAAGGAAGTTTGTGGAAGTATGGGCAGGCCGATCATGTTGCTGATCAAGGATCCGATTGTACTTCTGATGAGCATGTACCTGAGTTTGATCTATGGTATCTTGTAAGTCTTCTTCTTCCCTCTTTTCTTTACTATGGCCTCATACTGACGGATCATAGGTTCTTGTACTTTGGTGCCTACCCATACGTCTTCACAGGCCGCTACGGATGGAAGCAGGGTCCTTCAGGTCTCACCTTCCTCGGCATCGGGCTCGGCGTTCTCCTCTCGCTGCCCACGGCCGCACTTGGCAACAAGCACTTCTATCTCAAGAAACGCCACGCACGTGAGGCCATGGGAATTATGGGTGCATACCCTGAGGGAAGACTCCCGCTGGCAATTGTAGCGAGTGTTGTGGCACCTATCAGTGCTTTTTG